TTCGCTCCCTGGCCTGGGATCTAACTCGTGCTGCAGACAGCTTCATAGTGTTGAGACCTAACCCTTGCGCCACCAGGGAGACCCATGCTCTTTTTAATGAGTTTGATTGCTCTATTTATTGAGGAATTTCTTTTTCTTAGGAGTATTAAAGGAGGTAAGATGATCATTTTAAATATATTTAGTTTTAAATAATATTTAAATTATAGTAATAATATTTAAAAAGGTAAGATATAAAAAATGATCATAAAAAACAACCTAAATTTCTCTCATCCAAAATAAATACTTAGGACAAGAAGGAGGGTAATTATTTAGGAAAGGGGATGGGAAAGAGGAAAAAAGGCAGGCAGGCTTGGGTGCCCACCCTTAGTCAAATGCTTTTGAGGATAAAGAAATTCTACAGTAGTCAAGAAGAGGAGAAAAATGATGTAAAATATAACAGAATAGTGACAGACAGAAGAAGTGAATTAAAAAGTGGATGTGTCTGTTCTCAGAAGATCAAGAGTATTACTGTAGAGGGAGGAATCGGAGTCCTCAGTGGTTTTGCAGGTTTTTTATTGGGGTTTACCAGGCATATGGCAGGCAGGGGTGCTGGGGGGCCGGGAGGCTGGCAGCCCTCCCAGCCCCCAGCAAGTCTTCACTCTATCTGGGCTCTCCGGCCTTCTCTTGGCTTCTCTTCAGCTTCTCTTTCAGCTGCTGCTGCTGGTGTCCCTGTGACGCTGCCCTTAAAAGCCCAGTCTTAGCCCAGGTGTACCCATTTCAGGTGCCCGCCATCAGGCATGCATTCAGGATCACAGGGTTCCCTCATCTATCCTGATGGCGGGAGGGCAGAAAAGCCTGATATTTTTCCTTACCCTACAATTACTTACAGAAAATACTAATGTACTTTTTGAGAGCATTTCCCCTCAAGAGTTCAGAATGCCATACGAATGATCACTCAACTGCATAAGCAACTTTAACCAAAAAAAATTCAAATGTCTTAATATTGAAAAGTAGGCACTGTGCAGACAACTTATTTTTACTCAGGCCTCCCCTTATCACTCTTCCTTACTTTGTGTTCCTGGTCTGTTACCCTTGCCAGGGGTTCAGTGCCTTTCTGTGTTCACCTCACCCTCTGTGCTCTGTCTCTGCAAAACCTATTCTCAGGAGAGATCTGATAAACTCACTCACTCCCAGGCATATGTGACTAATACTTGAAAAGTGAAAAAAAAAAAGTGGGTTACATAGTGGGTTTTGCATTATTCTTCCAGACTAGACTCAATTAAAGACACTATAAACTCTGTAATCATCTGATAATACTACTTCACCTTCAATTAGTTACGCAAACAAGAAATAAAGTCAGACCCTGTGTTGAGAGGCATCCTGATAGTGTCTGAGTGGGAACAGCTGTAGCCAACACTTAGGGTGCTAATCTGTTCATTCCCAGTTGAGGAATGGGGTGGGGGGGCGGGTAGAAAGGGAGGGGTAGAAACACAACCAATGGATGTGTTCCAGCACTTCTTCCACAGCTGGTCACTTCTTCCACAGTGGTTACTTCCTCTGTCCTTCTGATACAATGTTTATCATCACCATGCTATTAGTCTTTTTGTTAACTGAGAAGATAAAGACAACAAATCCTAACTTGGAATTGAGCTAGGTGCTGGTATAAAATAAAAAATAATAAAAAAAAATATAAAATAAAATAAAATAAAAAATAGTAAAAATAATAACTAGACTGTGCAAGTATATGTATCATGGGTGCTAGAGAGTGGACTAAGTAAGCACTTTGGGTATCTTTGCTAGTTACACAGGAGACTGAGTCACAGAAAGATTCATTAATTTTCCCATATTACAATAACTTGCCCATGTTACATTATTTTCCCATTTCACTTAGATGAGAAATAACTTTCCAAAGTTCATACAGTATGTGGGGCAAGGCAACCTAGCTCCAAAGCCTCACGCTGAAGCTTAACTACACATAAGTCCCTTGATTTTGTAGGAAGTGACTGCATTTCATCATTCCTTATTGCTGAATAGTATTCCATTGTGTGGATATGTCAGTTCTTCTTGTGCAGTCATCTGTTGATGGACATTCGGGCTGCTTCCTTTTTCCACTTATTGTAAATAGTGCTATGCACACTCATGCTTTAGAGTGAAATCTGTTCAGAATTGAGTCCCACCCTCTCCACCAGAGTCAGCTCTGTGACTTTGGGGATATTGTTCAACCTCTTAGTTTTAGTTTCCTCCTTTGTAAATGGGGATAACGGTATCTACTTCCAGAACTTTATAAGGATGATAAATAGTGTATGTTAAAGCCACTAGCACAGTGACTGATAATGTTATTAATGACATTAATCCAAGTGCATAATCACTCAGTATGCACTGATGTGGTCACCCCAGTTGTTAAAATACTGAAGTGCTTCCATGCCAGTTGATAGACTGCTCCAGGCCCTTGAGTGTCCCCCTTCCTGGCCATCCAGACCCTCTGGCAGGAACTCCCCCTGTTCTGATGGCTAGTGTCTATGTTGCACAGCATTTTCACTATCTCCTGGCTACAAACATGAGATGCGCTCCTATCTTTGATGTGGGCACATTTGGCACAGGTCCTGGGCACAACAGGAGAAAGTGATGAGGACTATAATGGAGTGTGCTTCATAGGTTAGAGGATGGTGAAATGCCCAACTCAGGTGGGTCAGGATGGTGTTACCAAAGGCTTGCACTGTCAGTGACCTGTTTGGGTGGGTGGGGGCATCCCAGATCATCATGAAAGTTCTTTTGTCTCTGGGTTTATTCACTCTTGCTTCTTCCACCTAGTTCAGGCCTTCGTGACCTTTTGCCTAAACCCCACAAGAGCTTTATAATTAAGTGGTCCTCTTTATAATTAAGTGGTAATTAACTGTACCAACTGTTCTAGAAGCCATTCTGTGGTTCCCTCGCTCAGCCTTTAGTAGCTCCCTGGGGCTCCACCTCCTCATTGAGGGACATAGGCCCCTCTATCATGAAGCCTCAGCCTCTGTTTCCAGCCCTTTCCACTTCCTTTAGGGTGGGGGCCTGGCACACTTCCCAAATGAGACTGTTCCCTACTCCCAACTCTCTCGTTCCTGCTACTTAGAACATGTGGATCCTACCTCAGTATTTTTCAATATCCTCCTGAAATACAGCTTATTTTCCCATCTATGAACCTTTCCTTCCCAGCCTCTTCTCCCACCCCAAGGTCATGGGTGGGGTGATATGTTCTAATAACTAACGCACATTGATAGTTTATTATATGCCATATGCTGTTCTAAGAGCTTTGCATGTATTACCTTGTTTTATCCTCACAAAAACTCTAAGAAGTCAGCACTATTATTATTTCTATTTTAAGATGAAAAGACTGAGACACAGAGAGGTGAAATAACTTTCCAAAGGTTACACACCAAGTGTGGCAGTGTTGCTAGGATTCCAACTCAAGAAGGTCTACTCTGGAGCCCGTGTTCTTAATCAGTGTTCTACGGTGACTGCTAGCTCTCAGAGAAAGAAAATGGAAGCAAAAAATTACTCAAATTACACTGCTTAGTTTTGCAATTATTTGTTATTTATTTCTTTCTTCTAGAGGGGAGGAACTTGATTTCATGGACTGGTATCTCAGTTACCTCAGTATATTCTAGGCATGGCTTATGTCATTGAGCCATCACATCTTCTGGAGGTCTCATTGTGAGTTGTCTATAATCAAATCTACTTTTCATTAGTAGTTCTCCTAACTGGATACACCATTTGGTCATACTTGGGTGTTACCATCAGGCCAACAGTTCCTCATGAATTCTGAGAAAGCTGTGCTTGGTTTTATGGTTCAGTTTGTGGCCGAGAGTTGCCATTTATCTTCTGAATAATAGAGGAGATGTGTATGTGATGTCTCCCTCTTAGAGTAGGAGACACTCGAGCACCAGAGTCTAGTTATCTGGAGTCCTCAGGCAGATCTGTGGTGGAAATTTGGTGGGACTGACTGGAACTGACTTTCCAGGTTTCCAGACCTGGACGACCTTGTGGTGATTCTTCCCTAATGTCATGTACTAAAATGTATCAAGCTGTTGACTGACTAGAAAACTCTGGAACACGCTCCCCCTGTATTTTTACCTTGACACAAAATAAAATTATGACCTCATGATGGGAACACAGGACTTCTCTATTTGTATTTTTAGAACTTGCTAGATTTTTCCAAGGGCAAACTCAGTCTTTATGTTCAAGAAAAAAATCATTGTGGACAACTCTACCACTTTTCATTGTGACCCATGTGAACAAACTGTGTTTGTTCTAGAATCTAGAGAAGACAGTGATACATACCAGCTTTAGGGGAGTACCAATAACGTTGTTCATATGGACACTATCTTGACCAGCAGCCCCAAACTTGGCACTTTTAGAATCCCCTTCTTTTTCCTCGGTGTTAGAATCGACAGGTGCTAACACGGGGTGTAACTTTAGGGGGCAAGGCACTCATTCAAAACTAGTGTCTGCTAAATATTTTGTTGTATTTCTTATCCAGGATATCCTTTTATCATAACGTTTTACTGCCACCTCTATTTCTGCCGGGCTTGGCCCGACCTCTCAGGACTGTGCCGCCTCGAATGTGGCCTCGGTGGGTGTGGGAGTGGCTGATCCAGGGACGACCAGGGCTTTATGGCGGGGCAGAGTCCACCACCCCAGGGGATGAAAGCTCGAATGATTTAGTTCGCTTTGGCTCCAGCAAGCCCGTACTCAAGCCAGAATCTTTAGCACCAAAACCACGGTGGCTACACCTGCTTCCATCACCCGTCCTCAGAGCCCAGGCCACCACCCGCGGGTCCGCAGCCCGACGCCGTCGCCCCCTTTAAGAGCCTGCTCCGCGGGACAAACGTTCGAATAGCCCTGGCGCCCCTCCTCGGCCTCTGATTGGCTGAGCGCGGCGCACGAGGGCGCGCCGGCCCGCCCCAGTACGGTTGGCGGCCCTTCGCGATTGGCGGGCGGGGAACCTATATAAAGCGCGGGGCGGCGCGGCTGCCCTTAGTGAGCGACCGGATCCGAAACTGGGCGTTGCTGTGGTGTGGCGCCGGCGGAGGTCACCGGGGCGCGCGCGTCACGGGAGTCGTTTCTCTTCCGAATCTTCAGCTCTCGAGGGTCCACCCCGGGACGGGCTTTCCGACGCCTCTCTCCCGCTCTCGGCCCTCACGGACTCGCCTCAGCCCCGCGCCCGCCCTGAGAGGGAGGCAGGATGGAGTTCAAGCTGGAGGCTCATCGCATCGTCAGCATCTCCCTGGGCAAGATCTACAACTCGCGGGTCCAGCGTGGCGGCATCAAGCTCCACAAGAACCTGCTGGTGTCCCTGGTGCTGCGCAGCGCCCGCCAGGTCTACCTGAGTGACCCGTGCCCCGGCCTCTACCTGGCGGGTCCCGCCGGGCCTCCGGCCGCGGCGCCGCCGCCACCGCCCGGGGAGCCGGCGGCCGGGCCACCCGCCGGCTGGGGGAGCCGCCCCCGCCGGCCCACCGCGCCGCCTGGCCGGAGCCCGAGCCGCGGCCGGAGCGCCCCGCCGGCCCAGACGCGCCGCGGGCGAGTGACGCGGAGCCCGCGGCCGCGACGACGGGCGCCGGGGACGCTCTCCGCGGCGGAGAGGCGGAGGGGGCGGAAGCCGCCTGGCGCCGCGTGGAGGGAGCGCGCGAGGCGGCGGCCGGAGGAGCGGGGCCCCCGGCCCGGGGCGCGGACGCCCCCCCGGAGGGGCCCGGGACGGCGCGTCGCCGCTGCGGCTGCCCCCCGGGCGCGGAGCACAGGCCCGGGGCACCGAGCGCGGCCCCCGCGTGGACTGCCGCTGCAAGCCGCGGCCCGCCGAGGACGCGCCCTGCGCGCCGCCCGCCGTGTGCCCCAGGAAGCGCGGCGCGGCGGGGGTGGGCGGAGGCCCCGCGGGCTGCCCGGCGCCCGGCGCGACCCCGCTGAAGAAGCCGCGCCGGAACTTGGAGGAGCTGCCGGGCGGGGCGGCGGCGGCGGCGGAGGAGGAGGAGATGGAGACCGGTAACGTGGCCAACCTCATTAGCATCTTCGGTTCCAGCTTCTCCGGACTCTTGCGGAAAAGCCCCGGGGGCGGCCGCGAGGAAGCCGAGGCCGAGGAGAGCGGCCCGGAAGCCGCCGAGCCGGGGCAGATCTGCTGCGATAAGCCGGTGCTGAGAGACATGAACCCGTGGAGCACAGCCATTGTGGCCTTCTGAGCCCCCGCGTGCCCGTGGGAAGGAGGTTGAGCGGCGGGCGTCCCCGACGGGAGGGCCGGGCCTCTCCCGGCCGCGGGGGCGCCCCAGAGACCACTGGCGCGGAGCGCGCGGGTGCCCGGTGCTGCCGGGCCACGGACTGCCCGTGGCCTTCGAGGCCGGGCTGCGCCGTGCTTCTCCGGGCCCCTCCCGAGACGAGGGAAATGGAGGCTTCTCGGAAGAGGACGATCGTTAACTTTTGTGTCTGTGTACGTCTGTGTGTGCGCGTTTGTCTTGTTGATGAGACGGTCTTGTCCTGGAATGCATCACCCCTTCCCCAGGGTTTAGGAGACTGGGGCAGACAGGGGACTTTCCTCCGCAGGCGGCCCCGAGAAGGAAGCGGCCAAAAGGGCTGGGAGTTCCCCACGGCTTCTCGAGGGAGGAAGGGACTTTACACACACACCCTCGCTTGAAAGCTTGCACCGCGCCAGGACCAGGAGTGGCGTTTCCTCACAGGATTTCCTACGACTAGAGGGATTTAGTCTGGAGTAGTAACTTGTATTATTTCTCTCCCTCCCCACCTTGCTCGCTCGCTCAAGAAACGTGTGTACCCTATGATTTCGCTGGGAAAGGGGACTATTCACGGCCCTTCCCCACAGGGAAAAACAAAAAGCTTGATGAACTTCACAGAAGAGTTCAAGCTTGAACCTACGGAGTTTATAGAGAAAAGCTATATTTTTAAAAGCTCTAGATGGGAACTACACAGTGCTTTTAAAAAGTGTTCAATGTAACAGTTTACAGACAGAAGCCCTAAGTGGAAAGACCTTATGGTTTTGTAGATATGGTGACTCCAGTCTTTGTTGTATAAAGGTTGGGGGAACTGGTAAGGTTTTTGTACAGTATTTTCTCCTTCGTTGTGTTGACTTTTGTATAAAAATGTAACTTTACGTGTCTAACACGTATTAAATATTTTGAAGCAACCTCACTGCCTCCTTGTATATAATCAACTGTTCGGGGAGGGAAGGGAGAGGAAGGGAACTATGGGCCTGGCTGAAAGCCTGAAGGTGTGGTTCCTAGTATCAGCTGTGCACAGACAGGGGAACATTGTTTGCCGACTTCTCTAAGTATCGAAGACTTAAAGAATTTTCCTCCAGATCAGAGAATTGCTAATAACTGGTATCAATGACCTGCCAGTTCTTTGAAACTTGCCACTACACCTGCCTTTTTTAAAGTCAGTTTACGCCGATTTGATTTTCTGAAGCCCAATTTAATGATATCTATTTAACGAGTAACTTAAACATCAACTTCCCATCCCCAAAAATATTTTTCACTAAAGCCTTTTTAGGCTGCTGTTTATGTAGCATAGGTCATCTTTCAGCTTTGTTACTGAAAATAAATTGTACAGATAGTAGCTTGCTTTAGCAGCCTGTGAGAACTGTCAAATGAAGAAGCTGAGGAGACACTGGCCCAGCTGGTCAGATCCACCTTTGCACTCCAGTAGATGTCAGGTTGGAATTTTCATTGCTTTTTCTTGTTCTAGCTGTAGAAAGTAAAAGCATCAGTGAAAGGAAATGACTTGTGTCAAACGAGCTAAGAAGAGGCCAAAGAGGGTCAGACAAATACAACACTTAGCCCAACTTCCTTTGTTTTTATGACCCGAATGGGGACATCCCTGGGTCATAGTAAACACTTAGGTACCTTTGGGTCAAGGTTATCCATTAATTTCACTGAAATTACTGTCTTTAAAACTCTGCTTAAGGTAAAATGTTCGGTATTTAGAAGGTATTCAATAATTATTTCAAAAGTAAATCAGAGAATCGTGTCTTGAAATACATGCTTCTTGCACTTTAAAGGATAGTATTGATCTGTAACTTACAGAGTGTTTGAGAGACGGGAGAAACTGAGGGGAGATTAACAAAACTAAAACTATGGACTTTCAGCACAGGAGCATATGAATGGTGCCTTGACCTTCCTAAAGTCATAATTTTAAGAACTGAGTAGGCAATGACTTTGATACTTTTGCAAATCTGTTGGTGATTCCTGAAGTATAAGGATGTTTTGCTTAATGCTCTGTTACCGTAATCATAGAATCAAAGGCCCTCTAATCAGGGTCTTACTTAAATTTGCTTGTTTTTCTTTCAGAGATTAGCTACTTCTGTTACGGCCACACGAGATCCATTGAGTTCTGACTGCTTAAACTGAGGGTGTCCAGGACCTTAATTTTACGAGCATTTCCTGTTGCTAAAAAGTAATTATTATGCTTGAACAGCTATCTCTGCATTTTTATATTTGGAAGGGGGTGACGTATGGTGTGTTCGAGTTGATGAATGAGTGGCTGAGACTCAAGTTCCTGTTGATCCTTGGTTTCACCTGAAGATACACTATGGGACAATGTGCTTAATTTAGAGAAAGTGAATTGATAGAGTTGAGATTCAGGGAGATAAAGCATCCTAGAAAAATCAGAAAAGATCTTTTTTGTTGTTGTTGCAGAAGCAGTATCTTTAATGGTTAGAGCTTGGGCCCCAGAACCAAGGCTGCAGGGGTTTGTATCTTGGCTCTGCCACAGCCGCGGGAGGGATCCTAGACAAATTACTACTTGTGCCTTTTTTTTCCCCAAAGGTAAAATTGAGAATGGTGAAAATCATTGTACCTTATTATTGTCTTAGAAATGTACCTCATATATAGTAAACACTCAGTTAACATAGAAGTGAATTATGTATATAAATCAGATTATGATCAAATATTGTGTACATTTGCAAGAAAGTGGAAAGAGGTGTCTATTTTTAAGTTATCCTATGTGTGAATGCTGGGTTCTTTTATTCTTCTGTTTTGCTTGGACACTTGGCAATCACATAGCTTTGTTCCCTCAGTGTAGTTTTGCTCTTTGGTATGTCTCACACCAACCCTGTGACTTTCCTGATTATATCAAACAACTCTATTTTCAGGGAGGAGTAAGCAGGAGTGAAAACACTCAAGGAGCAAAGATCTTGTTGACATACAAATACTTTCTGTGGATGAGTAAAGGGAAAAAATAGCCCATAGAGTTATTTTTAGCTTAAATTGCTTAGGCATAAAATGTTTCTTAAGCCCTGGTAATTGATAGGTCCTAGAAAAGAGCCTTTCCAGTACCAGGGTGCGGTTATTATACACAACTAAATCAGATTCAGTGTGACTAGAAAGGAAGCACAAGTTTTAGTACCTAACCACTTACTGACCACTCTAGGAAGTCTTGATCAACTTAACCTTAGCTCTGGTCTGGAAAATAAAAATTTTTAACTGCCATATGAAATCCAAATTTTAAAATGCTCTTTGCCAAGTAAGAAGATCACATTAGTAGGGAATAAAGGTGATTCATTTTAGTACAGTGCTTAACCATGTTGCTTGAGACCTGTCTTCCTCTCAGAAACCATTGATTGTACTTTGGGAAAGGAACTATGATAGTAGCTTGAAATGCCCCTCAAAATTGAAATGCCCCTCAAAAGTGATTAGGATTTTCTCTAAAAAATAAAAAAATAAAGCATTTTAAAAAAAGTGATTAGGATTTTCTCTCAGACATCTAATGGAGTAATAATAACCCTTCTATTTCTACCATTCCTTACTGATTGGATTTTGGGATGAGAGAAGTGGAAGGGAATTGGACCATTACCCAAGTTTGGTAGAGTGTCAAAGATGTGGTAAAAAATTAGCACTGAAATCAATGATGGCAGGTGTTTCATTTTATCGTTAGATTACTCTGAGTCTTACTTCAACTTGCTAGGCATGACACCTCAGCTTAGAGCTTGTGAGATGGGGTTGAAGGCCTAATTCCCACTGTGACATGGAGTTTGATGGACATATATTTCCTTATACTTTTTAAAAGTAGAGTTAGTTCAGTTCACTGAATAACCGAAGAACTTCTGATCTCTTGCCCTAAATATTTTATTCTTGTCCTGTTTGTGAATTTTTTATTCTTCTAGTCTTGCTTTCATCCCAGCAGTTGCTGAAAGAAGACGGGAATAAAAAGAAACACTATTCAACCCTCCTGTGACTATGAAAGGAGCCATTACTATTAGGTGCAGAGCTCAGGTAGGGACTGAGCTCTGCTTCCCAGGATTCCTGGCACTCTTTCCAGTAATGAGCAGTTTATATCTCAGCCTTTGAACCATTGTTCAAGTTTAAAAGTCTGCCCAATGGAAAACCCTGAGAGGAAAAATGCAGTAGAAGCAGAATCGATGTTAGGAATCACTGTGATCTTAACTTACGCCCTTGGAGTTTTTCAGTAACAATTCTTGAAGGTATAATAGAGATGAGAATATGTGAAAGCAGAAAGTGTAAAAGGACACACACACCCCTAATCCAAATGGATTGTCCTAATACAAAAGTTTTTCCCAATGCCTGCCACGCCCCCACCCCACCCCCACACCCTTGTAGCAGGAATGAGTTTTAAAAATAAAGCCCTCTAGCAATTACTCTTTCCCAGAGGAATATAGCCCAAAGCATCTTTGCTGGACTATATACTGGGGTTTATCTCAGACCTTTGGAATCTTATAAGCAGGGAAGGAGATGCCTCCAGGGACTGCATTCCTAAAAGGGCTTCTCCCGCTCCCCTTCTTTCCTGACCAGCAGCAGCCTCCGTCACTGGATACTGGATGCTGCCCATTTAATGGCAGGTGGGAAAGTTTGGGCTATCAACTTTTAAAAACTGTCACTGCCACTGAGCATCTTTAGAAAGTGATTTTCCTAGGGGACTGGTATAAAGTTGGCCTGTGATACTTGTTGGTAAATCTACTTACATAATAAACTTTGGGGGCGGTGGGGGGGCGGGGTCTGGTCACAAGAAGCCCTAGCCTGTGATGAGCTACAACCCTGTGGCTCACACCTGCAGGGTGAAGGTGAGACACAGCTTCTCCTCTTCTACCCATTTAGCACCAAGTCAACCCTGGTGCCAGCCCTCTCTTTTCTCCCTAGGAACTCAGTCTTTGCTGGGCTGCCCCAGCCCAGTCATTCCACTAGATGTCAAAGCAAGGCTCATTCAGTTTTTCTAGAACTCAGGGATGTGCCAAAAGTCAGGTGTTGCCACCAGCTTTTGACCTGTTCTAC